TGGTCATGGCCTTGGCAATTGAAACATTGCTGCATGCCACGACATTTGTCCTTACGGACCTCGACATTGAAGTCAAAAATCTTCTTGAGGTTACACAGCCCCAATATGTATGAGCTTTTGCTGACACGCAAAAGTCATAGTCTAAAAGAGATATTGGTCAGACCAAGAATCTCAACTTTAAGGCCTGATTGGTTGGCAAGAAACTCACTAAAATGCTCTGGCGAATATTCATTGGAAAAACGTGAAGAAGATACACGCGCTTGTAAACGATCCGTAATAAACAAATAAAAAACACACTTACAAAGCTTCGATAAGCAGAAAGTTTTGAACAACAAGGAGACAGAGAAAGCGGCAATCGATTAAATTTGAAGTGTAGTCAAATGTTGGTGACGTATTCATTTTTTAAATAATTTATTTTCACACTTTTTATAAAATCCATTGGAAATACAAAACACTCAATTTGTTTGAACACTAACAACGCCAGCTGATCTCTTTCTATCCAAATACTGGTTGGATGCCACAGTTGTTTATAATTTCAACTAGAATTGACAGCTGACAAATCATATGATACGGCGTTGCCAACCACCATATACACCAGTATTTGAAAAACATTGCCAATATAAACATTTTTTTTTTGTATAAGAAACAAACTCTTGCATTTCAATCTGCAAAGAGAACCTTGACTGAAACCTCTCCCGATGAAATGCCAGGCTCGTCGAAAAGACTGGTTTCAGGTTTAATGAATACAGGTTTCAGATTTAATGAACATGATGCAAAAGTCAATGGAAGGTATTATGGATGAAAAACTCAAAAATCTAACTATATAGAGCGATTTTGAGGAAACTAACGTCGCAGAAATCGATAAGAATTGTGAAGATTTGGAAAATGAAATATTACGATCTGAAATCAACAAGCTAAAAGCAGAACGCGAAAAAGACTATGAAAATTTAAGACGTCAAGTTGACCAGAGTAAACGCAAAAATGTTATATTCAAAGGTATTAAGAAACAAGGCTCACCGAAAAATTGTGTTGAAAATGTCTGTATAAACGTTTTGAAACTTAATGATTTGAAAGTTAAAATGACAAGAACTTTATATTCAAACAATGGAAAAATTGGAGTTGTAGCTGAAATGCAGATGGAGGAAATGGTACATAAAATATTTAAAAATACCAAAATTTAACAGGGTTTACCATAATAATAGAGAGAGATTTGAGCGAAGAAAGACAACAAGATCGCAAATTTCTCTTGCAAATAAAATCAGCTATACTTCAGACTGATAAAACGCATAAAATGTTAGAAATGATTCCCTCAAAATTGGAAATAAATGGCTGCATTTTTCAAAAACCCGTGAACTGATGTCGGGAAGTAATAAAGCCGAAACGGTACTCAAAGAACTCTATGGTAACAAACTAGCTGATTTAAATATAGATTATATGCATTTACTAAAAAATGTCATCCAAAAAAACTAATTGAACGCAATATATGTAAAACCAAACCCCTCACAGAAGAACATAATCTAAAAATAATTTCGTACAACATTCATGGACTTGAAAATAAAACATTATATCCAGATTTTTTCAAATATCTAGCCGATTTTGATATTGTTGCCCTTTGTGAGACACATATCTGTCAAGGTAAAATAGTTTTTTTTTTTTTTTTTTAAAGTTCATTGGTGACTTTTGTACGTCAAGAAATAGCAGATTTGGCAGAGGAATAGGAGGTAGTGTGGTTGGGGTAAAAAAATCTTTAAAAAATATCGGTTTAAAATACAGCTTTGAATGCAGATTTGGCATAAATTACGTCAAGTTCAAAATCAACCAAAATAGTTTTCATCTAATACCACTATATATGAGGTCAGCAACCTGGAATGAAGATTTTCAAAAATTGGACTTATTCCTGAAGGAGAATTATATAGAAAATCCAATAGTAATTGGTGACTTATGCGGGTTTGGAGGAAAGAAAGTCCAAGGAAGGCGAAATAAATACCAAAGGGAAAAATTTCATCGACTTTTGCTATGATCATGGTTTGCTGATAGCAAATGGCATGACTAAAGGGGATGAATGTGGAGAATTTACATTTGTGAGCACAGTTGGAGCGTCAGTGAATGACATATGCGCAGTCTCCCATAATCTTCTTTCAAACGTTGATGAATTTCGAATCGAATATAAAACCTGGTCTGACCATATGCCAATAATATTATCATTAAATATCAAACTACAAAACGAAAAAGAAACCTTAAATGCACCTCTGCCAAAGCTAAAGTGGAATGCAAATAAAGCATCAGATTATCAGAAAAAAGTATTGGAACTCATCGAAATAAGTGGTAATCAAGGTACTTTTACCTTTTCAGATGTAACGAATCTTATTAAAGATGCATCAAAAATCTTCTTCAAAAAACACCTAATTTTGCGAAAAATGAAAAATGGTTCAATGCAAGATGCTACAATGCTAGAAAAACTTCCATGAAGAAACTTAGCAGATTCCGGAAAGACTCTACAATAGAGAACAAACGCAAATACCTAGAAAGTAATCGTATATATAAAGTTGCATGCCGATTGGCTAAACTGCAATATTTCAGCAGTTTAGAAAGAAAACTTGATAATGTGAAAGATAGCAAAGATCGGTGGAAAATAGCTAAGGAAATCCATAATGATACAAATAAACAAAGTCGAACCAATCGACTTCAAACGGCATTTTGAAAAATTGCTCAACCCACCGCAAACATCACCTGATATCTAGTACGCTCCAAACTTTTTCATATATGATGATTTGGACAAGCCTACTTCAATGACAGAGCTAAAGAACGTCTTAAGAAAATGTAAAATAAATAAAGTCCCAGGAGAAGATCGTATTCCATACGAGTTCTACAAAAATGCTCCAGAACAATTGCTACGGGAAATCGTAAATTCATGCAACAAAGTTCTCAACTCTGGAAACGTTGACTCGACATTTTCTACCAGCATAATCTACCCTATATTTAAAAAGGGAGACACTACACAAGCTCAGAACTATCGAGGGATCTCTTTTATGAACTGCTTGCCAAAAAATATGATGGGAATTATTACGGAAAGGTTGTACAATTGGGCGGAAAAATAAAAAAAGATCAATCCGGTTTTAGAAAATACTACTCGACGAATGATCAATCATAGCGCATTTGGCTAGCGCTTGGTTTGCAGCAGCCAGCTCTGCTGCCATACGGCTCTTCACTCGTCTAAATGAGTAATTCGGGCTTCAAGGTGGCGTACTAAAGCTTCCAGCTTAACGTTCTCGTTGGCAGAATTGCCAACGTTGCAGTGGCAGCGTTTTTTACGTGGCTGCCTAACCACATCGGAGCTAATTGATTGGCCTCCGTCACTAGTAGCACCATCATATGCAGCATAATCTCCTCTTTTAGATATATTTGCTTTATTTGTTTTGGCAAATATACCCACAGTATCACCATTGCTAGTGGAATTCATATTCACCGGCCCAGAGTCTCCTTTCCCGCCATTTTTAATTTTGGCGAGAAACCTTCTACTATAGGAGTGCTGTCGGGGTTGGTTTTTCCCGTCAGCAACGTTGTTTTGGTGGTGGCAGCTACAGCTTCCTCTTCTATTTTCCACTATCGTGCCAAATCAGCAAATTTCCTTTAGCCTTGCGGGCTAAAATTGCCAAACGGTGGGGACAGTCCTTGGCCGAAACCGAATGTCCATATTTGCCACAGTTAACACAGTAGCAAGGCTGAGCCACCGTTTTTACCACCTCTCCGGTATTTGGGTCGGTGTATTCTATAAGAGTGTCCTGTCACTTTGGAGGAACAGGACATTCTTTTGGACCGTGATTGCTATTGCACTTGTTACAGCGCTTTGGCAAAGTGCAATTGGTCGCAATATGGTCATGGCCTTGGCAATTGAAACATTGCTGCATGCCACGACCTTTGTCCTTACGGACCTTGACATTGCAGTCAAAAATCTTCTTGAGGTTACACAGCACCAAGATATCTGAGATTTTGCTGACACGCAAAAGCCATAGTCTAAAAGAGATATTGGTCAGACCAAGAATCTCAATTTCAAGGCCTGATTGGTTGGTAAGAAACTCACTAACATCCATTGGCGAATATTCATTGGTTAGACCCTCAATGACCAGTATATGAGGGCGTAACTCTTTAGGAGTATAGGTATAAAACTTATACCCACGTGTAGTCAAGGTCTCCTTGACAACATTGAAAGCGTTGAGGCCTTTCACCTTCTACGCCAAGACGGAAGGACGGACAATAGTGATGCTAAACTCACCTGTATTAAGATGTCGTCGAAGAACGCCAGCAGTCTCCGTTACGCCAGCGTCAAAAATTTTAAAAGCTGACATGTTTTTCCCAGCGTTAGCCTTCTCTGGTGTCTGCTTAGCAGGAACCTTCGTCTTCTTCACAGCAGGAGCACAGCCTTGGTGACAGCAGGGGCGGACTTGGTGCCAAGTCAGCAAATTTCCAAATTTGCTGACTACTATTCGCGTCTCACTTTTTTGAGAGATCGAATATAAAAGTTCGAAATTTTTGCCTTTTTTGGCCAAAAAAAAAAAAAAAACACAAAATTTATCTGTCTTGCAGATAAAATACACCAAAGTCTTCACTATGACTTATTTTAGTCACCACTTTTTACTTTTTTCACTATTCACTAATAGATGTTACTTCACGAACTGTTTGAGCACTAGTATTGTTTCCGGATGATTCCGCTCGTATTTATACAAAATTTGAGGCTCTCTCCAACTATTGAACACACAAGTAAAGTATGTACAGTTATATGTGTGTGTACATTTGCCGTTAGTACTGTATGTTCTCTTTTGTGTGTGCGTGTACATTTGGTATACCGATAGGTAAGAATTCACTAACACATCATCCCCGAAAGTTGATGCTAACAGCACAATTTTCTATAAATACCCGCTATAGTCAGCCAGGCAACGTTATAACAGTGTTAGCAGTGTTTGTGTGCATATCTCTAGTGAAGTGAAAAAATGCAAGTAAAAATGGCTCGTATTAAGCAAACTGCCCCTAAATCGACCGGTGGAAAAGCTCCCCGTAAACAACTAGCCACCAAAGCTGCCCGAAAGAGTGCCCCAGCCACCGGCGGTGCTAAGAAGCCTCATCGTCTCCGTCCTGGTACGGTTGCTTTGCGTGAAAGCCGTCGTTATCAGAAGAGTACTGAATTGTTGATCCGCAAATTGCCCTTCCAACATTTGGTTCGTGAAATCGCTCAAGATTTCAAAACCGACTTGCGTTTCCACAGCTCTGTTGTCATGGCCTTGCAAGAAGCCAGTGAAGCCTACTTGGTTGGTCTTTTCGAAAACACTAACTTGTGCGCAATCAATTCTAAGCGTGTCACCATCATGTTGACGTTTTAAAAACAACAATTTTACAACAAACAATCGCTCCTTTTCAGGACCACAAATATTTTACAAAAAAGAGATATTTTTTTTATTCAATCTACAATTTTTAGTATTTTTTTTTTTTTTTTTTTTTGAAATAAATAAAAATAATTTAGGGCTTTGATTATTTTTTCAACAATTATTTACATTTTTTAAAATAAAGATATATTTTTTGATGTTGTTTTTTTCGTTGATGATTTTTCGACACTTTATTTTTTTATAATTTTTTGATTTTTTTGATTGATATTAATTTTTTTTCTTAATTTTATTTTAAATTTTTCAATTATCCATATTGGTATTTTCTTTTAATTTGCAAAATTAATATAATTTTTGTACTCACTTCCTAACAAAAATGCTATGACTCATAAAAACAACCAAACATACACCACATACATTTTGCTAACGGGATTTCGTTGTCCATTTTGTTTTTTTTTTTCCTTGCTCTCTTCATAATTCTTGGCGCGAAATTTGTCAATTTCTCTCATTTTATGCCCCTTCGATCATTTTTTTCTGTTGTGGACTATTCAATTTAGCGGGAAAAATTTCTCTGCCTTTAATTTTTACGAATTCTCCTGAAATATAACACCTAAGTATTTCAACTCAGCTGAAACTGGAACCTGCTCAGAACCTATTCTAAGAAACGACTGAAACCTCCTTAAATTAGGGTATACTATGCCTGGCCGACCAAGGAAGGCCGTAGCACAACATTTCCCTACATTCAACTTTAGGCGCCATGCAACGAAGTACCTATGGGGGCATCGAGGTACTCGTTAACGCGCTCATTAACCGACCTAGCAAGCGGACCGGGAAAGGCTAAAAGGACATCATCGGCATAGGTCAGATGAAGACCACCAGGAGGAGGAGCCGGGATGTCACAAGAAAAGATGTTGTATAACATCGGGCCAAGAAGGGAACCTTGAGGAACCCCTGCCAACACAGGGCGGCGACTAGAGAGTCGCTCACACACCTTAATCCTGAAGAATCGATCCCTAAGAAAACTAGCGACCATTCTACAGGATTGTCTGTCAAAGCCAAACGATTGGAATTTATATAAAATCCCATCGTGCCAGACAGAGTCGAAAACGAAAGAGACGGCTATAGTTCCGTACTTCCTACCGAAACCTTTTCAAACGAAGCTACTGAAAGCCGTTAAGGCATGGGTCGTGGAAAGAGCAGACCTAAAACCAAACTGACAGTCCCGCAGAATTCTCCTATCTTCCACGTTTCTTCCAGTCCTTGCCAGAATAACGGATTCGAGTAACTTTCCAAACGGCGAGAGGAAAGGAAATAGGCCTGTAGTTGCCACACTAAGAGGGATCAGAACCCCACTTCAGTATGGGAACCATCTTGGCCTCCTTCCAAGCCGTAGGAAAGTATCCTAAATTCAGACAATGATTAAAGAGAATTGTCAAAAAGGACAGAATAACATTTCCTGCCCTTTTCACAGCTACATCGGGAATATGGTCCATAAAGCAGGATTTATGGGCTTGTCGGCGTGAAAGCGCAAAACCAACCTTCCTGGGATAGACAAACCCGCTATCTTCCCAAAGGGAGATGTTGTCCACAGAGGAGCTATTAGCAGTGAATGAACTGCTAAACGACACGACAGGAGAATGGTCTTCAATCCCCTCCACCGCCAAGCTGACTTGGCGCTGGAAGGAATAGGCAACCGAAACTTCCCCATGTCGAAGCGTTCCCTGCACCTGGTCCGCCAACATCTCAGCCCTATTGTCGTCAGAACTCACCCTAGTACCAGTGGAGTCTACGAGAGGACTGACTGAGTCTCGAGAGGAGAGGCCGGCCAATCGCTTGACCTTACCATAGGTCTTGGAATTGACCGTAATTCCCTCGAGATAGTCCTTATAAAGATCGTTTTCGAATCGGCGAATATTGGCTTCGATGATCTTGTCGAGGTTGCGGATGTCAGCCGTGAGGACTAGTTGTCGCTCAGGATCACCAGATCTACGCAACACTCGACAAAGCCGTCTATGCTCCCAAATAAAACTCGCGATCCTAGGGAGGAAGATTGCCCAGGATAGTGTTTTTTGCCCTATATTTGGGCACTGAAGCATCTATGGCATCTCGGAAGGCGAAGCCTAAATCCTCAATGCAGCTATCTATATCCGAAATGGGTACGTTGCGATCGGCTGGCAGAGTTACCTCCTCCAAGCCGCTGCGCAAGCGCTGCCTATATCGACGGATATTCATCCGGTCGAAATTGTGAAACGGCCTAACTTCTCCATTTTGTAAGGAGCCTGACTCTATCTCTATGAGAATCGCCCTATTGTCGGTCTCAAAGTAGAGGGTCGTTGACGTGTCTCTCCCCGCTGCCAGTGCTGCGCCTGGTGTATGCAGGAAGAAGTCGATATACGACCCTGCCACTCCATTGGGCCTATCAGATGGAATGGCTGCTACATCCGGACAATCGAGAAGGAAGGCAGAGATTGCTCTTCTACTGGTATCGACCTCTGCACCACCCCATAAGGGATGTTTCGCGTTCAGATCTCCACAAACTACCAGGTCGCCACTGTCGCGTAAAGCGAGTATGGGTCCAGATCCAAACTTTGGAAGTGACCAACAGGGCGCTGGTAAACAGACGCGACACCCTAGCGACACAAGATTGTATATCCCCTGAGGAAATGGGGATTTTTCTGAGCAAAACCTATCACTGACTATGACTGCAGTGCCCCCTCTTGGGCCTGTCAGCCTATCCTGCGTATATGTTTTGAATCCTTGGCAGTAAAACTTTTGGCGAGAGCCAGGTTTTTGCCAGCAGAATAATGTCCGGCTGATGCGCAAAATTCCGCAAGAAGTACCACCTAGTTTTGGAAAATATGGAGCTGACGTTAGGAAAAACGCACTTCAACATCCCTAATCTAAGGCTATGTGGAGGGCCCACCAAGCTTCCGGGTCTCCCCTTTCCTCGCGGATACGCCCAAATTTGGGACCGAACGATCTAACCTTGGCTAATGCTGATAGGTCACCGAACACCTTGGGAATGCTGCTCATCAGTCCTCCAATATCTAGGGTGGGTCCAGATGGGCGAGCAGCAGCAGCAGAAGCTTTTGGGGGTGGAAGCTGTCCGTGGGGGTAACTGGGGCTGTGCAGTTTTTCCTCCAGCAACGGCAGCATAGTCTAACTTCTTCTTCTCCGCGGAGATGCGGCCAGACCTGGCGTTTTGTTTCGCCTCGACTTCCTTCCTCCTTTGGATCCGGGTCACCAGTATTGCCTTCCGTTTGGGGCAGGAAGGGGAGCCCGCGGAGTGGCCTTCCACTTTGCAGTTGACGCACTTAGGGATTGAGCCCGTCTCCTTGCCCGCTTCAAACGTGGGGCACAGATGGGTGGGGTGTCCTTCGCTGCACTTCTCGCAGTTTGGCGGCATCCCACAGTTTGCGGCGATGTGTCCATTACGCTGGCATTTGTAGCACCGCGTTGACTTTCTCGCCCTATCCTTTCGGATCAATACACTCAGGCTAAACAACCTATTGACCTTATACAACTTGTGTATGTCGGTCTTCCTATCAACCCTAACGAGCCATTTATCTGGCCCGATGTTGACTAGGCTCTGCACGAAGACTGGGAAGTCTAGCGTGCAGAGTTCTTCCTTAATTTCATCGGCGGTAAAATCGCCGGAAAGCCTATCTACCACAACGGTATACGGCAACCTATCCTTAGGAGAGCGCGTATGAAATTTGTACGCCCTCTGAACTAATAAGGCCCTAACCTTATCGTAGGTACTTAAACTACTTAGTCTAAAGGAAATAACTCCCTTCCTAATCATCTTGATGGTGAAGTCGCGGGGGTTGAGCGACGATGCCAGGACAGTCCTGATTTCCTTGACTCCAGCCTCATAAATGGTGATGGGGGGAGCCGCCTTCTTCGTTTGGTCGTCCTTCGTGGGGGCGGCCGATGCTGCTGGCGAGCCATTTGCCAGCATGGGCTTGGGGGAAGCAGCCTTGGCTGATGCTGCAGAAGCCTTGGATCCAGGCTTCGTCACGGCCTTCGGTGAAGGACCGTCCGTCCTTTTCGAGGATGTTGCAGGCCGAGCAGCTTCCTTCTTCGGTGCGGCCTTCAGTGCTGCCTTTGGCTGCCTTGACGGAGTCCTCCATACCACGGCTGTTTACAAGTGCCGACAGCCCGGCATTGTCTTCAGCTAACATCCTTAGCTTGGCCTCCAGTTTTTGGATTACTCCTTGGAGGTTGGAGACCACGTTAGCGAGCCATCCTTCTTCTCCTGGTCCTTCAGCCGTTGTCCAGTTAGCTGTTCCATTAGTCACTGTTCACTTTCACTTTTATTCACTGTTCATTTAGTTGTTGCTTCGATGACGTTGTGTTGAAGACTAATAAACAAAACGGCAAGCTATACAGAATTTGTAGTTTGTAATCGACAAGAATTTCAACTGCTGGACACACACAAGCCAAACCACCCCATTATTGACGAAATGTGTGTGTGAGAAAAGTAAAAATAGCACATTGCGTCTGGCAATTTTTTATCATTTGTGTTTTTCAGTGCTTAAGTGAAGTGCTCAAAACTAAAATAAAGTGAAAAATGAAACCTGGTAAAAACCACAAAAATAGCAAAAGAGATAAAATTGAATATTGTTTCACAACGAAATACAAACATCGTTGCTGCTATTGTGGTTACACCCTTGTTTTTGGCTGTGTCGCCGGTTAAGTGAAATCCAAAAAAAATTGGAACAAAGTGAACAACACAACATTCTTCTAATGGAAGAAATCACTCGTCTCAAACATCTTCAGGACGAATCAGCCCGTCTTCTAACCGAAGTAGCAAAAAAAGAAAATAGCTGCAAAAGAGTCATAATTGACTTGCAAAAACAGCAAAATACAACATCGATAGTCGTAGATGAAGACAACATGAAAATGGATACAGCGGAAAACACGCCAAAGCCGCAGAAACAACTGGCAGGCAAGAATCCACAGTTGCCCAGGACAGAACAGGCAGGCAAGAAGCCACAGCTGCCTACAACAGAACCAAGAAAATATTCTTCAACTGCAAGCAACAGAAAAGAAGAACCAACAACAACAAATCCTGCAATAACAACAAATGCCAGCAACAAACAGTCATCAGCAGCAGTAACATCAACCTCCATTGCCGCAGCAACAACCACCAAAGGGAAGGGTAAGAGCCTACCAGCCATAACAGTTTATGAAGTTGGGTATAGAGAACTTACTGGAATAATAGACAGGAATATAGGCAAAGAAATCTATAGCATTAAAGTTGTTCGAAGCTTAATTATGTCCGTTAGGATCAGTGGTTTAGAAAATGTCCACAAAATCACTTTATTACTTAAAGAAAGAGGATATAAATATCACAAACACACACCAAAACAATTATTGCCCTATTCAGTTATTATCTATAGGTTGCCTAAAGAAGTCTGTAAGGAAGAAGTCATAGAATTTTTGGAAAACTTAAAATTCAATGTGAAAGTAGTAGATTTAATTAAAATTACTGAAACTAAATGGATTTTCAAACTAGACAGATCAACTGATATAAATAGATTTTATAAAACCAAAAAAAAAATTTAAGATGCAATATCTCTTTTAGCAGGGCTACTGGTAGGGATGTTCTTAGATGTTTTAACTGTCAACGAATTGGGCATGTCAAAGCCAATTGCGGCATGCCCTATCGTTGTGACATGTGTTGCGAAAACCACGAACGTGGTAAATGTCTGGTTAAAAATGTTTCAAATGTTTTAACATCAGATACTGAAGTACCAAGACCAAATATATTAAAATCAGGAAATTCAGTAGACTCCTGGAAAATAAATTAGCAGGTCATTCTCTTCCTATAGATAGAAATGTATCAGCTAGCCAAATTAATAATTGTGTCAATGCATTAAACACGGCATTTAAAGATGCTATTGAACATTCGGTTCCTAAGCAAAAATATCGGGATCATTTATTAGGAGAATTACCACCTCACATCCTAAGGTTCATTAAAGAACGTAAAAAGTTAAGGCCAATCTTAAGGAGATCAGGTGACCCTGACAGTTACAATATAATTAGAGCTGACATCAAAAATTTAGGCATAATAATAAAACAATTAGTCACTAACTTTGAACAAGACCGTTATAAAAATTATTTGGAGGGCATACAGATGAATTCAAAAAAATTCAGCAACGGCCGCATAGTCTAACTTCTTCATCTCCGCGGAGATGCGGCCAGACCTGGCGTTTTGTTTCGCCTCGACTTCCTTCCTCCTTTGGATCCGGGTCGCCAGTATTGCCTTCCATTTGGGGCAGGAAGGGGAGCCCGCGGAGTGGCCTTCCACTTTGCAATTGACGCACTTAGGGATTGAGCCCGTCTCCTTGCCCGCTTCAAACGTGGGGCACAGATGGGTGGGGTGTCCTTCGCTGCACTTCTCGCAGTTTGGCGGCATCCCACAGTTTGCGGCGATGTGTCCATTACGCTGGCATTTGTAGCACCGCGTTGACTTTCTCGCCCTATCCTTTCGGATCAATACACTCAGGCTAAACAACCTATTGACCTTATACAACTTGTGTATGTCGGTCTTCCTATCAACCCTAACGAGCCATTTATCTGGCGCGATGTTGACTAGGCTCTGCACGAAGACTGGGAGGTCTAGCGTGCAGAGTTCTTCCTTAATTTCATCGGCGGTAAAATCGCCGGAAAGCCTATCTACCACAACGGTATACAGCAACCTATCCTTAGGAGAATGCGTATGAAATTTGTACGCCCTTTGAACTAATAAGGCCCTAACCTTATCGTAGGTACTTAAACTACTTAGTCTAAAGAAAATAACTCCCTTCCTAATCATCTTGATGGTGAAGTCGCGGGGGTTGAGCGACGATGCCAGGACAGTCCTGATTTCCTTGACTCCAGCCTCATAGATGGTGATGGGGGGATCCGCCTTCTTCGATTGGCCGTCCTTCGTGGGGGCGGCCGATGCTGCTGGCGAGCCATTTGCCAGCATGGGCTTGGGGGAAGCAGCCTTGGCTGATGCTGCAGAAGCCTTGGACCCAGGTTTCGTCACGGCCTTCGGTGAAGGACCGTCCGTCCTTTTCGAGGATGTTGCAGGCCGAGCAGCATCCTTCTTCGTTGCGGCCTTCGACTGCCTTGACGGAGTCCTCCATACCACGGCTGTTTACAAGTGCCGACAGCCCGGCATTGTCTTCAGCTAACATCCTTAGCTTGGCCTCCAGTTTTTGGATTACTCCTTGGAGGTTGGAGACCACGTTAGCGAGCCATTCTTCTTCTCCTGGTCCTTCAGCTGTTGTCCAGTTAGCTGTTCCATTAGTCACTGTTCACTTTCACTTTTATTCACTGTTCACTTAGTTGTTGCTTCGATGACGTTGTGTTGAAGACTGATAAACAAAACGGCAAGCTATACAGAATTTGTAGATTGTAATCGACAAAAATTTCAGGTAGTCAAACCACCCCATTATTGAAGAAATGTGTGTGTGAGAAAAGTAAAAATAGCACATTGCGTCTGGCAATTTTTTATCATTTGTGTTTTTCAGTGCTTAAGTGAAGTGCTCAAAACTAAAATAAAGTGTAAAAGTGAAACCTTGTAAAAACCACAAAAATAGCAAAAGAGATAAAATTGAATATTGTTTCACAACGAAATACAAACATCGTTGCTGCTATTGTGGTTACACCATTGTTTTTGGATGTGTCGGCGGTTAAGTTATTTACCGACGGCATATAGAAGATGGAAGAAGACGACGATGGAAATTAAGTGCTATGTGTCGATCAAGTTATATTGGCACGTAGCAAAGATTCTGATGTTTCTGCCGATGGGAAAAAGTAGGCAGCAACTGAAAAGCGTAAGAAGAGGAAGCAGAAGTATGATGATGAGTCATTATATGAAATAATGAAGCTTGACGCCCGTTTAAGTGAAATCCAAAAAAAAAAAAAATTGGAACAAAGTGATCAACACAACATTCTTCTAATGGAAGAAATCACTCGTCTCAAACATCTTCAGGACGAATCAGCCCGTCTTCTAACCGAAGCAGCAAAAAAAGAAAATAGCTGCAAAGAGTCATAATTGACTTGCAAAAACAGCAAAATACAACATCGATAGTCGTAGATGAAGACAACATGAAAATGGATACTGCGGAAAACACGCCAAAGCCACAGAAACAACTGGCAGGCAAGAATCTACAGTTGCCTAGGACAGAACAGGCAGGCAAGAAGCCACAGCTGCCTACAACAGAACCAAGAAAATATTCTTCAACTGCAAGCAACAGAAAAGAAGAACCAACAACAACAACAAATCCTGCAATAACAACAAATGCCAACAACAAACATTCATCAGCAGCAGCAGTAACATCAACCCCCATTGCAACAACCACCAAAGGAAAGGGTAAGAGCCTACCAGCCATAACTTACTGGAATAATAGACAGGAATATAGGCAAAGAAATCTATAGCATTAAAGTTGTTCGAAGCTCAATTATGTCCGTTAGGATTATTGGTTTAGAAAATGTCCACAAAATCACTTTATTACTTAAAGAAAGAGGATATAAATATCACAAACACACACCAAAACAATTATTGCCCTATTCAGTTATTATCGATAGGTTGCCTAAGGAAGTCTGTAAGGATGAAGTCATAGAATTTTTGGAAATCTTAAAATTCAATGTGAAAGTAGTAGATTTAATTAAAATTACTGAAACTAAATGGATTTTCAAACTAGACAGATCAACTGATATAAATAGATTTTATAAAACCAAAAAAAAAAAAATTAAGATGCAATATCTCTTTTAGCAGAGCTACTGGTAGGGATGTTCTTAGATGTTTTAACTGTCAACGAATTGGGCATGTCAAAGCCAATTGCGGTATGCCCTATCGTTGTGACATGTGTTGCGAAAACCACGAACGTGGTAAATGTCTGGTTAAAAATGTTTCAAATGTTTTAACATCAGATACTGAATTACCAAGACCTCCATTAAAGTGCATTAACTGCAATCAAGTAGGCCATGGAGCTAATTTCCGTGATTGCCCGACAAAAAATGTCATCCTTTTAAAAAAGAAAGAAAGGAGAGAGGAAAAAATTGCAATAAATTCTGCAAAATCGAATAGAATTTCTGCTACTAAAAAACATTTTAACATATGCTAGTATTGTAGGTACCCCAAATATACCTACAAATAACTTAAATAAAGTTATAAATAATAATGTTACCACTAGGGTTCTTGCACCACTACCCGTTTCAATGGCTGATGAATGTAGAACAACTTTTGGTAGAAATCTCACAGATCTTATGAAAGATCTTGAACAATTCAAAGATAGGTATCAGGAAATACAAAAAGCAGAAGGTGATTCCATTGCCTTTCTAAAACTCCTGATGCATTTGCAAGGCTACAAATGTTGAAGTGCATATTCCTCAGACCCAACTCTATGGTGTCTTTAATTAAAAGACATTACATTAATTTATTTATTCAAACTCAAAAGCCTGATGTTCTACTTTTAGCAGAATATAAACTGACAAACAGGCATAAATTTGGTTTTGAGGGATATGCACTTTATAAACAGTGCAGAGTAGGCAGATCAGGTGGAGGCACGGCAATTCTAGTTAAAGAGGAGTATAAAACAGAATTTTTGGAAATAGACACAGGTAACTTTGAGTCTTGTGGCGTAAAACTTTTTAAAGCTGATGGGACATTCATTGTATTAATATCAATGTATTTGCCCCCTAAAGATGAGTTTTACCCCAATATTCTAGATGGAATTGCTAGTTTGGGCGCAGCCAATGATCTCATAATTGGCTGTGACGTGAATGCAAAGCATCAAGACTGGGGGGGGAATATTGATAATAGAAGAGGTCGGGAGCTTCAAACATACATGATAAATTGCCAAAATTTGGAGATATGCTCAACAGCTAACGCCACAAGACCCAATATTATAGCAGACTCTTTTATCGATTTTTTTATAATATCAACAAATGTCGTTTTGGAAAAACATGACCGGTTAAAAACCTATGATTTTGAGTCAGATCATAGGGCTGTTGAAATTAATATTTCCATGCAAAATTATTTAAGGAATGTTGAAAAAAACATATTACAATTACAAAAATATTAAAATCAGGAAATTCAATAGACTCCTGGAAAATAAATTAGCAGGTCATTCTCTTCCTATAGATAGAAATGTATCAGCCAGCCAAATTAATAATTGTGTCAATGCATTAAACACGGCATTTAAAGATGCTATTGAGCATTCGGTTCCTAAGCAAAAATATCGGGATCATTTATTAGGAGAATTAATAAAGGTTAAGGCAAATCTTAAGGAGACCAGGTGACCCTGACAGATACAATATAATTAGAGCTGACATCAAAAATTTAGGCATAATAATAAAACAATTAGTCACTAACTTTGAACAAGACCGTTATAAAAATTATTTGGAGGGCATACAGATGAATTCAAAAACATACAGCAAAATCAAGAGAGCAGTTGGTCTATCCAACAAAGAGCCAATTGGAACATTAATTGATGCCAATGGATCAAAAATTACTGATAATAGTAATACGGCTGAGCTCCAAGCAGACCACTTAGAAAGAATTCATAATTTAGGGGATGATTCGAGAAGCAATCCTATTCACAGACTTGTAAATGAGGCTGTGAACCTTATGAGGCTGTAATAAATAATGATTTCCCCTGGCGGGAGGGGGGATTTGTAAACCCAGAAAAGGTAACTATAGCGATCAAAAAAAGACCACCAAAAAAATCATACGGTATTGACGGGACCCCTGATATTGCCCTCAAAAAAGTGGGTAATACAATTCTCAATTTCATAACCCTTTTGTGCAACCATTGCATAAATATAGGCTACGTTCCATCTAGTTGGAAATAGGCCCTAATAGTGTCAATTAAAAAGCCAAAAGTGGATGGAAAACAATGTGGAAATTATAGGCCCATTTCAAAACCGTAATATTCTTAGAGAATTTCAATTTTGGTTTAGGCCAAAATACTCAACCACACATGCTCTAGTGACATTTTCAAATTATATCAGCAGAGGGTATGAGAGGAAAATGGGCATTATGGCTGCTAGCCTTGATTTTGCAAAGGCATTTGATACCGTTTGGCAAAATGGAATAATTTATATATGCAGGCTCTTTGCGAGTTTTCTTAAAGGCAGGACGTTTTGGGGTAAAAGTCGGTGATAATATGTCTGGGCGGCGACAGGTACAAGCGGGTGTGCCGCAAGGTTCACTCCTTGGGCCGGTCCTGTACAACATATTCATAAGCGACATTCCTGGTCCACCTGATGACGGCCTCCATTTAACTTACGCAGATGACATTCTGATTGCCTTACGTGGACGTTTTGGCCATAAACTCGAAAGGAGACTCAATTCATAAATAGAAAAATTGAAAAAATATTTTGATTTATGGCAGCTCAATCTCAATGTCAGCAAATGTTCATCTATTGCGCTGAGTGGTAAGCCCAGACAACATATCCAACATTGGCTAGATACACACCTACAATAAAAATATGCAACGAAATAATACATGCCTCAAATGAAATTAAATATTTAGGCATCATGTTCAGCAGGAAATTTAATTTCATAATACACATTGACTTTGTAATGGAAAAATCGAAAAGACTACTTTAGCATATCAAAAACTTTTTATAATGAGAGGAGGACTTACCCCTCAAACTGCTGAGCAAATAATCAGGCCAATATTAACCTACTCTTTCCCAGCATGGGCTGATATCTCATCGAGCCAAATGGAAAGGCTGCGCTCGTTTGAGAGACGTATTCTATCTCCAGCCGTAGGTCTTAGACCTTATATAAATGAAAATGGAGAAATTAGAAGGCCCTCAAACAAAAGTATGTATAGAGCTGCAGATTTGTGCAGAACAGACGTATTCATGGTGAGAAATGCATTATCATTCTTTGATAAATGTCATAATTTAGAAAACAGTATGGTAAATTATTTCCTACAAGTAAACTTTGATCTAGACACACTTCTCAGACAAAAACACATCCCTCCAGTTGCCATTCTTAAACTCAATGAAGAAGGCCTATTATATAATGAGGATTCTCTTATTCATTATCACCGCAGGTTCGGTAGATATGATGCAGCCACTGACCCAGTATATAATACTGACCAGTAGGCTTTAAAAATGTGTATATACTGTAAATATTATTCTTATATAAATCATAGTTATAAGTTTAGTCTTAAGTTTTATATAAATCATAGTTGTAAGTTTAGTTTTAAATCTAGAATGTAAGATACGTTTTTAATTTATAATTTACTCAATAATTACATTTTTTGAATTGTTGGGCCTTCTTCAACACGAATTGAACAAAACATTATAAAACTAACTGATTGTCTGTACTAATGTACAACACGAACTCAAAATTTTGTAATCTCTTTTATATGTATGTATATACCTAGAGAAGAATACCTTTATATATTCATAAATAATACTTTAGCCTTTAAGTACAACATTGTAACACATCGACTGGATTAAATAAATAAATGGCATTTTGAAAACTAGAAAAACTGTCAGATATAATATAATTAGAGCTGATATTAGAAATCTCGGCATAATATTAAAAGAACTAATAACAAATTTCGAAAATAACAGGTACATATCGCATCTAGAAAAAAGTGAAAGCTGGTGCAGGCCTATCTCAAAAGGGACCAATAAGTAGTCTATTTAACGATAGAGGTGATCCTATAAACAATAATGAGGAAAAAGCCAATTTATTGGCTAACCATCTCCAAAACATACAACAAATAAGGGAGAGTAAAACAAACTCCACCTTCCACAAACTTGTAGTTGATGCTGTGGATGGAATTGAGGAACATAATCCTCTGCTAAGTTTTGGAGAATAAATTGCAGCTGATGGCTCAATTATAGCGGATGAAGCTAAATGGAATGAGGGTGGATTTGTTAGTCCTGCAGCAGTCTTAGCTGCCATTAAAAAATATCGTCTAAAAAATCTAGTGGAATAGATGGAATTCCGGATATAGCTATAAAGAAAGCCGGAAGTGCAATATGCACTTTCCTGGCAATTCTATTTAACCAGGCTTTTAACCTTGGTTACTTTGCAAAAGAATGGAAAAAGGCCTAGATAATACCAATTAAAAAAACCGATTACAAATGGGAAATATTGTGAGGACTACAGACCCATTTCTCTCCTGTCCCCATTTAGTAAACTTTTTGAATATTTTATTCTTGAAAGAATTAAAAACACCATTGAAGAGCACAAAATATTAAGAAATTGTCAATTTGGCTTTAGACCACAGCATTGTACTTCTCATGCCCTTGTAGCATTCACTAATTATGTTACAGAAGGGTACAGGAGAAAAATGGGTACCATGGCAGTAGCACTAGTCTTTAAAAAAACCCTTGATAAAGTATGGTAGGGTATAGGCTATACTCGATAAATTGCAATCCTTTGGTTTTGAAAGGCAAACCTGTAGGATAAATTGATGGTCAAATTATAGGGCATTCAGATAAAATTAAGTATTTAGGGGTTGAATTTAACAAAAATGTTGACTTTTGCAGACATGTAGACCATGTTCTTGTTAAAGCAAAAAAAAAAAAAAAAAAAATACTTCATGTATCAAAAGATATTTAGGATGAGAGGAGGTCTTACTACTGACATTAAACAATTACTGTACAGACAGATAATAAGGCCCACAATTGCGAATGTCTTTCCGTCTTGGGCTGACGTCTCCGCAGCACAGATGGAAAGGATACGTAGATTTGAAAGAAATGCTATAAGTGCAGCTGTTGAACTAAGAGCCGGCATAAATAGCCAGGGTGAAATTAGAAGGCCATCGAATAGGAACATTTACAATGCCATAAACTTTGGCAGAATATATGTTTTTATGATGGAGATGGCCCTTAAATTTCTTGAGAAATGTAGAGAAAGTGAAAACTTTATAGTGCAAAACTTCATTAACAACGAAGAAGACTTAGAGGTACTTCATACTAGAAAGCATATACCACCAGTTGCACTATTTAAATTAAAAGAGGCAGATATCCTTTATCAAAATGACAAATTAATAAATTACCATAGAAGATTTTCAAGATTTGATGCTAGTACTGACCCTGTATATAATATGGAGCTGTAAATCAAAATTTGTATATATTGTATATAGTTAGTTGTAAGTATTTAGAATAAGAAATTAGTATAATTTTATTTATAAGATTTATATATAATATATAATAAATTTTTAAAAATCATTTAAGTTCACATTGTAACGAAATGAATTAATAAATAAATGGCAAATTGAAAAAAGCCAAAAAAAAGCCGGTCAATTTTTTATCATTTGTGTTTTTCAGTGCTTAAGTGTAGTGTTCAAAACTAAAATAAAGTGAAAAGGTCTGGTCGTGGTAAAGGTGGCAAAGTTAAGGGAAAGGCAAAGTCCCGTTCCAATCGTGCTGGTCTTCAATTCCCCGTCGGTCGTATCCATCGTCTGTTGCGCAAAGCGTGTTGGTGCCGGTGCTCCCGTCTATTTAGCCGCTGTCATGGAATAGTTGGCTGCTGAAGTCTTGGAATTGGCTGGCAATGCTGCCCGTGACAACAAGAAGACTCCTTTCATTCCTCGTCACTTGCAATTGGCCATCTGTAACGACGAAGAATTCAACAAATTGCTGTCTGGCGTTACCATTGCCCAAGGTGGTGTATTGCCAAACATCCAAGCTGTTCTCTTGCCCAAGAAGACCGAAAAGAAAGCCTAAATTATCTCGAAAGAAGGTATTATGGAATGAAGAAGAATACAGACCATCGTATAATTCCATAGAAAAATCAACCAATCCGTTCTTTTGAGGACGACAAAAATATTTGAAAAGAGAAAGAAAATTGCGTCAAGCTACATTTATATGAAAAAAATTAAATTCTCAATAATTTTGTATGAGACGTTGGCAGAATAACTGTTTTTCGTTGTCAGTTGCATATTTGTGTTGTCGTTGTTGTTGTCTCTTATGATTTCAGGAATAGAGCGCGAGAGAGAGAGATCGCGGCGTCACCAAATGAGTATGTATACCATGAAGAAGAAGAAGCATGTGGCAGTTGGTGGTGGCTTTGCAGTAATTTTATGTGAAAAAATCGCACCCCGGCGCATTCTTCGGGAAGATATAAAGTAGACGATTTACAAGGGAATTTCGGCGGCAGAATAGTGTTGTGGTGGAAATAAATCGACACATACATGAAAATAAAACCGCATTGTGGTGCTATGGAAAATTTTAAACACAAAAAATAGAAGAAAAGTAACATAATAAAATGAAAATTAACAAAAATAATTACCAACAAAAATAAAAGAACGTAAATTAATTATTAAATTAAAATAAAATAAGAAAATTTTTTAAAATTAAGGCAAAAATTAATGAAAATTTAAAGAAATTTAAATAAATATATTTGGAAATAAATTGAAGGAATTTAGAATAATAAATACACTTTATGAAAATAAAAGATATTTTAAATGAAATCAAAAAATTTTAAATTAATAATAAGGAAATAAACAAAGTGATTTTTGTTGAAAATTAAAACAAATTAATTGAAAATTAAATAAGAAAATTTAACATAAATAAAATAAAATTCATTTAATGAAGAATTTTAAAATAAAATTCAATGATTTTTAATGGAATTTTATTTACAAAATATACTATTTAATAAATATTTTCAACGATTTTAAATTAAATTTTGGAAAAGAAATTTATTTAAGAAAAGTCCAAAATCACAACGAAATTCCTTTATTGCCACAGCATGGTTGGTCGTTAGTAATATCGACTAAACAGCTCCAATACATACATAAAGCGATGCTATGTTATGCTCATATTATACGAATAAGAAGAAGAAGAGCAATTAAATGTGTTTAGCGATGTGAGTTGCCGACGGTATGTTCATGATCGGGAATAAAATACGAGACATCGGTAAAACAAGGTTTTCGGTGAAAATATTCTGGAGAAAATTGAAACGAGTAAGTATTTGTATTTTTTTTTTTCTTTATTTGATTCTTATATATTTTTAAAGATTTTCACTAATTGTGAGAAAAAATACGAGAAAGCTGAAAACGAAATTTCATAGAAATTTTAAAATAAAATTTCTTTATGTCCTAAGGTAAGTGTTTATTTTTTTATTTATTTTAATTTAAAAAAAATAGTTTTCAACAAGAAAGTATCTCTTTTTTTGATATATTTTGTGGTCCTAAAGCGGACCGATTATTTTGTTGTAAAAAAAGATTTCTCCAAATTGCGTCAAGAATTTGTTTAACCGCCGAAACCGTACAATGTTCGGCCTTGTCTCTTCAAAGCATATGCGACATCCATAGCGGTGACGGCTTTACGCTTAGCATGTTCGGTGTAGGTGACAGCATCACGAATAACGTTTTCCAAAAACACTTTCAGAACACCACGAGTTTCTTCGTAAATCAGGCCAGAGATACGTTTTACACCGCCACAACGAGCCAAACGTCTAATAGCTGGCTTGGTAATACCTTGGATGTTATCACGGAGCACTTTCCTGTGACGTTTATCGCCACCTTTTCCCAAGCCTTTACCACCTTAACCACGACCAGTCATTTTTTCACTTAAGTTTATTTCACTTATCACTTCACAATAGCACAAGCACTAATGTTGTTTCCGGATGATTCCGCTCGTATTTATACAAAATTTGAGGCTCTCTCCAATTATTGAACACACAAGTAAAGTATGTACAGTTATATGTGTGTGTGTACATTTGCCGTTAGTATTGTATGTTCTCTTTTGTGTGTGCGTGTACATTTGGTATACCGATAGGTAAGAATTCAGTAACATATCAACCCCGAAAGTTGATGCTAACAGCACAATTTTCTATAAATACCCGCTATAGTCAGCCAGGCAACGAAATGTAAAGACTGTGAAGTGAATTAAAAAGTGATAGTGCATAAAATGAAAAATGAAAAAACTAAAATTAAAGAACATTTAATGAAGTGTTGTGCAACATCTCACCTTGGAGATAAAATTGTGTTCAAACTTTAAACAAGTGATAAATAAATAAACTAAAAAAAAAAGTTTAAAAAAGAAAACTGTGAAAATGTCTTGTCACAGCTTACACGCTGATGACGTTAAGGCAAATATGAACTATAATAATGGTCAGATAAAAAATGACTGTGCCCAGAATCAAAGTGTGGCGATAAATGACAATAGTAACAATACTGATGTTTATATTGAAGTTAAACGAAAGAGATTAAACAAGCCTACAGCACCAATAGTAGAGCAACTGATAGAACTCAACAAAAAATATGAAAGTGTTCTTAATGAAAACGCTAAACTAAAAGAGGAAAATGAAGAATTTAAAAAAAAAATATTCAAGAACTAGTGAGTAAAATTGCCACAGACAGTGTGAATGTGGATGTCCATATCCGTAAGGAATGGACAAATGTGAATAACAATAATTGTACCACTGAGGCAGCCGTAGACCTCATGGTAGCTGATGAATATGAGTGCGAAGACGATGTAACCACAACGCCGGCGGTAAATAATAGCAGCAAAGGGACATATCAGCAATTGGATAAGCAAGACAGCGGCGGAAAAGCAGCAAATACAACAACAAATAAAGCAAAAGGTAAGGCCAGCCCCCCTATTATTAAAATATTATATAACGTTAACGTTAAAGAATTTACAATTAAATTAAAAAATATCCTCAATCACAATTTGTTTACTATCAATATAATAAACAAAAATTTAATTCACCTCAAATTGAGCAAAAATGAAGATCACCTAAAAGTGAAAGAATATATAGAAAACATGAAAATTTCTTTCCTTATATATACCATTAAAGAAGAGAAACCTCATACCCTAATTATTAAGGGAATCTCAGACACATATGATGAGACAGACCTTAAAAATTTTATTGAGGATACTGGAATAAATCTAAAAATCTTTAAAATAGTGAATTTACAAAAAAGGAGATGGATTGTGCAGTTCTCCAACGATTCTGATATTAAGTCATTTTCCAGGCTTAGATTCATGTTAAATAACGGCGTAACCACAATGTAAAAATTGCCAAAGATATGGCCATATCTCCATCAACTGTAGGATGCTTCCAAATTGTGTCAAATGCGTTAGTCGTCATGAACGTGAGAAGTGTCACATACCGCCCAAAGACCAAAACACAGAGGAAACGATGACAGTTGAACCAAATACAGGTCAAATAATTAAAACAAAGGGAATCCCTGTTAAATGCGTTAACTGTAATGCTACAGGACATGTAGCAAGTTATAAAAAATGCCCAAAACGGCTTGAAATACTAGAGAGAATGGCTCAAAAGAAAGCGGCTGCTAAAGCCAACACAATTAACCATCAAGCTAATAAGCCAAATATTACATATCCATAATTCTCTAATAATTTATCATATGCAAACGCCTCAAAAATCTCACCAACAACGAGTGCTATTGGCAACATTAAAGGTCAAACTACTCTTCTTATTAAACAGGCCATGGGAGCCTTTGATAAGGACTGCCAAAGATTTTTGGGCAAACATTTTATAACTTGCATGGAGAAAATAAGTGACTATGCAGCAAGTTATCAAGAGCTAAAATCAGACCGGGAAAAGTCAGAGGCCATTTTTGGTCTATTTCTAGCACTAAAGCTAAATGATTAAATTTAAAGTAATATTTGTTAATATAAATTCACTTATTTCAAGGCAAAAAAGACACTATCTTAAATTATGCGTCAATGAAAAAAATCCTGATGTAATACTGATTACAGAATACAAACTTAACAAAGACCACAGATTTAAATTAAAAGGTTACACAATTTTTCCACAACTTAGGAAAAACAAATTTGGAGAAGGAACAGCTATTGCTATAAAAGGGAAATTTAAATGTGTAAGATTAGACGCTAATTTCGGTAGTATTAAGGCAACACTAATAAAAATTAGAAACCTAGGCGGACAAACAATATTTTTATCTTCGCTTTACCTCAGACCCCAAGAAACATTGTCAAAACAAGATCTAGACAAATAATCTAATATAATAGGGCCTAATGAAGCAATAATTGGTGCTGACCTAAATGCAAAATACCCGCTTTGGGGAGGCCACCAGACAAACACCAATGGTCGAATATTAAATGACTGGATTCTTTCTTCCCCCAATATAGAAATTTTAAAAACAGAAACTCCAAGCAGAGTAACACCGATAGCGGACTTTTTTATTGACTTTTTCTTAATAACAAATCAAATAAATCTAGAAGACCCGCGAAGGGCGATTACCTGGCTTGAGACGGGTGATTGTAACTTAGAACATAGAGCTGTTTTCTTGACATATTATTAAATAATAAAAATAAAGAAAAGCCTGAAAAAATATTTGACTTCAAAAGTATGAATATTCGTCGATTTCATAATGAACTAGAAGCAAATTTAGCACAAATATGCCTTCCTAAGGATAGAGATGCAACAGTCAGCAAAATAGATTCATCTATTGAAAACATGACTGTTGCTTTTAACATGGCAATGAAAAATAATATTAAACAACATTATAGGAAAAAAAATCTACTCCCGGACTTACCACCAGAAATTATTAATTTATTGGCTCAAAAAAAGAATCTTCGAAGAAAAAGGAATAGAATTATTAATTCTAATGAATATGCTTCATTAGGGTCGCAAATTCGAATCTTGGATAGATTAATTAAACAACAAATTTCTTGTTTCGAAGAACAATATTATATCAGGTATGTAAATAGCATATCAGCCAATGAAAATATGTTTAAACAGAAGCCTTTTGTGGATTAGGC